TCCTAATTACTACTCGTTGCTTGCACTTGGGCTTAGTAATTGAGATTTAAAACTTTTATCGCAACAAACAACAAGCCAACTTCCTCCACTCCGCCACAATGTGATTCTTTGCATGGAACCAGAACGTTTTTCTCAACGACCATTTGATCGTTTCGAGCTCGGGATTTGGTGTCTTCACGGACACAAACGTTGAACTTTGAGGACAAAGTTCTTTTGGACGGTGGAGTATTGATGAGAATCAATCGGCTTAATAGGAGAAACCCGATGTCGGTTATATGTCAAAGAATGTGGAGATGAGGAGTTAGTGTTTTTCCTAAACTAGTGGGAACGTGAACAAGATAGATTATGGGGGTGATTAGTTTGGACTTTTATTTGAGGCTATTACTGTAAAAAAAATTGTTAATTTTTTTGCTGTGACTTTTTGTTTTTAGTTATGACTGTGACTTTAAAAAAATAAAAGTCGTGAATTGTTGGCTTTTAGAAAAACTCATTAACGTAGAACAAAAAAAAAATCTTGGCTTTGAGAAAATTTAGGAACTGTGAGTGATTTTAGGAAAGTCAAAGTGAGATTGGAAAAATTTAGACTTTAAAAAGTTTAAAACAAAGTTACAGCTTTTAAAGTCCTCGCCAATCACCCCCCATATTGTAGTAGTTACTTTCTTTTAGTTTTGTATTTAAGATGCTACAATGGTGAAATCAATATGATGAGAAAATTGTCTAAAGTAACGTGTGTTCTTGTTTTGATCAACAAATTGGTTAGTTCTATTATTGGGACTTATCAACTTGGTATCAGAGCCATAATCTATGGAGCTCTATAACAAAATCTATGGAACACCAATCTTCGATGTCTGCGACGACGAAGAGCCAATGTTCGATGTCTATGATGATGCGGATCTCATCATGGATCCAATCTCCGTAGATGGTGATGGAAGCTTTGGCGGTGGAGCTAACATATTTCATGTTGACGCCTTTATCTCATCGCTTTGGAACCGAAGTGTTCCAAGACCCATTGCCTCCTCTGCATTCGGTGAAGGAGTTTCAACAACAAGCCAACTTCCTCCACTCCGCCACAATGTGATTCTTTGCATGGAACCAGAACGTTTTTCTCAACGACCATTTGATCGTAGACGAGCTCGGGATTTGGTGGTTTCACAGACACAAACGTTGAACTTTGAGGACAAAGTTCTTTTGGACGGTGGAGTGTTGATGAGAATCAATCGGCTTAACCGGAGAAAACCGATGTCGGTTATATGTCAAAGAATGTGGAGATGAGGAGTTAGTGTTTTTCCTAAATTAGTGGGAACGTGAACAAGACAGTTCATATTGTACTAGTTACTTTATTTTAGTTTTGTGTTTAAGATGCTACAATGGTGAAATCAATATGAAGAGAAAATTGTCTTAAGTAACGTGTGTTCTTGTTTTGATTAACAAATTGGTTAGTTCTAATATTGGACTTATCATTTCTTCATGGCTACTTCTCCTAATTCCAAATTCTTGTGGATAACAGAGCAACGAGCGAGTAAGCATTGATGCACACAGCTTCATTTTCCATTCGCTTGTGCATACTCAACGCTTGATGGTGTAAACCAGCATGTGAAAGGGCAAGAAATCATGGCGTTCCAAGAAACCAAGTCTCTCACATGCATTTCATCGAACACTTTGGAAGCAATATCCATCCTTTCATTAGCAGAGTAATAACGAACGAGACTTGTGGAAACAATAGCATCTGAAAGAAACCCAGATCGGATAATCGAACCGTGAAGCTCCAAACACTTCGGAATCGAACAAAGCTTCTCACTTGCTTTGAGAGCGAAACTGAAAGTGAAGATATCAGGGCGTGAAACAGAGGAGAGAATCATTCGATTGTATAAGAGAAGGGAAGAAGATACGGAGAAGCCACGGACAAGAGAGTTCCAAGCACAAGTTGATGATAGTTCCAAGTTTGGAGATGGGCCTAGTGGGCCGGGAACTCTTGTGTCTGTTTTATTACGTTTAAGCCTCTTTCTATATGTAAAGAGAAAAATGCTACAGAGGGGATTATCGAACATATTAATCAAAAATCATCTTTCAACATG